CCTGCTCAGCGGGGAGTCTGCTTCTCCCTCTGACCCTCCCCCCTCTCATGTACTCGCTCTCTCTCATTCTCTCTCTCTCAAATAAATAAATAAAAAAAATCTTTAAAATAAATAAATAAATAAAAATAAAATAAAATACAGAGCATTAAGTGACTTGATAACCCCCCAAACTAGTGACAGTTTTATGATCTTGTTAAAGTCACTGGTTGAATTAATTAAGCTTGTTAAAGAAGATCTCAGGCCAAGTACACAGTTGGCCACTTGGAATGTGACAGTCCTCCTTGAGTATTGTTGCTGCCGGGCCAGCCAAGAGTTTAAAAGAAAATAGCAAGGAATTAAATTACTTTGTTGGTGAGACTGTGGGATGTTGACTGATGCGGAGGAGAGAAATTGTGAGCTTTTTTGCTTTCTGACATGAACGTCATCTTTGCATGCTCTAGAAGGGTTGGGAGCTCGTTTTTCTATTAAGAGCCAGAGGGGGCAAAATGAGGACCATATAAATAAGCAGTAACACATTTTTCAGACAGAATTACAGAAATTCATTCAACAGAGAATAGTATTCATGGCTCTTAAACTCTCCTTAACCAATTCGTACACCCCTATGAATGAAGTAGCTGCCTCAGGTCAAGAGGGTAAGGTCACCAGGGCCCGGAGGTACAGACTGAGCATAAATAGAAGTCCCAGTGTTTACTCTCCACAGAAGAGTGTGCGTGTGTATGTGGGTGCCGATGCGAGTGGGCACAGGTATATTTAGGTTTATTTAGAAATCATGAAAACAGAGCAGGAAAATGGACATCTCTAATACCTAATATTATTTTGTAAAGAGAGTGTTAAACATTAGAATTATCCCTAATTTCTTTGACCATTTCTCCCCATCCTATTCCTGTTAAAGCCTAAATTTGAGGAACCTGGAGTATCACTTTCCACAATACATGTTTCTCACAGCCCACAGAATCATCTGACGAAAAAGCCTAGCTCTGGGCGTGGTACCTCAGAAGAAGATATTCCTCTCCCCTCTTCTCTCCATCATATGGATGAATTGTGTACCCCTAAAATTCACATGTACCTCCGAATAAGACCTAATTAGAAGATAGGATTTTTTTTTCTTCTCCATTCAATAGTTTATTCTCAATACCTAGTAAAATAAAATATACGATGTAGACAATAAATATTTGTTGAATGAATTGACAGGGCTTTTTATTGATACTGTGAAGGAGGTTTTTTTTAATAATTATATTTCAAATTTTTATTGTTCATCTTGAAATATAACTATATCATTTCAAGTGTTCTCCAATGAGGAAATGATAATTGGAGAATTTTTTCTTTTTTTTGAGATAGGATCTAAAAAATTTTTTGGAGTTAGAATTTTTACAGAGGCAGTCAAGTTAAAATGGGGTCATTAGTTTGGGTCCTAATCCAATATGACTGGTGTCCTTATAAAAAGGGGAAATTGGACACAGAGACATATATTGGGGGAGCACCATGTGAACATGAGGGAGTCCTTCTATAAGCCAAGGAGGAGGGCCTGGAGCAGATTCTTCCTCACAGCCCTTGGAAAGAACCAATCCTGCCAACACTTTGATTTCCGACCTTAGCCTCCAGAGTTATGAGACCATAAATTTCTGTTGCTTAAGCCCCAGTATGTGGTTCTTTTTATAGCAGCCCTAGAAAACTAATTCATTCTCTATCTCTCTTTTTCCTCTCTCTAATACCTTTGGTACTATGTAGTGGTTACTTTAATATTCTTACCTATTTTTTAATTATCTCTGTATTCTGTCTCTTTGATTCTTTACTGTGTCTGTTAGAATTCTGTAAAACTAGAGGAAAACCCGTGTCCAAGGGTCTCTTAGGTAGCAGGTGACAAAGCCTGCCTCCTCGTTCAACATTTTCAACATTTTCTTTATATCATGATGCAGTGTGGTGGTTAATTGAACAAGCACTTACAGTTTTATCATATTTAGGACACCATACCAGTTACTTATTTGTAGTAAGAGACTCTCTAGGACTGCTGTAACAATTACCAGAAATTTGGATGGCTTTAAACAACAGAAAATTATTGTCTCACAGTTCTGGAGACTAGAAGTCCAAAATCAAGGTGTTGGCAGGGCCATCCTCTGAAGGCTCCAGGGAAGGATCCTTTCTTGCCTCTGCCTGGCTTCTCGTAGATGCCTCTTCTATTTTTATTTCTACTTATTTATTTATGTATTTATTTTTAAGAGAGAGAGAGCGTTTGTGAGTGGGATGGGGAGGGGCAGAGGGAGAGAGAATCTTAAATAGGCTCCATGCTCAATGAGGAGCCTGACTCGGGACTTGATCTCACAACCCATGAGATACGACCTCAGCTGAAATCAAGAGTTGGACGCTTAACCCATTTAGCCACCCGGGGAACCCCTCTGATAGATGCCTCTTCTAGCTTTGGCATTCCTTTCCTTAAAGACACATCGCTCCAGTCTGGGCCTCCATAGTCAGTGGTGTTCTCCCTGTGTCTGTATCTGATATTCAAATTTCCCTCTTCTTATAAGGACACCAGTCATTGGATTAGGGTGCATCCGAATCCAGTATGACTTTATCTTAATTTGATTACATCTGCAGAGATCTTACAAGATCCCATTCATAGATTCCAGGTAGACATGAATTTTTGGAGAACACTATTCAACCCAGTATATAGACTCTCATATTAACTTAAGCATTTTTATAATTCATGTCCAACATTAGTACTTGGACTTCAGTGTCCAATTTCCAGGGTTCAGATACTCTGTTTACTACCAGTGTGATCTT